GTATATAATGAGCGGCGTGGCCAGCGTGGTGGACTCGGATGGAAGGCGCCTGACGCGTGGCTCTGGCTTCTGATTGGTCATTAAAGCCTGTTCTGTTGTACCGGTCTTTTACCTATTAGGGCTCGGGTATTCTACAGTGGCGTCGGATTAGGGCGCAGACATATTGGACCACCTGGCCTCGGCCAATCCTGTGTCTCTCTACTTTCTAATGGCATGTGAAAAATAAAGGCAGTTAACCAGAGAAAGACAGGAATGAGGAGAAGTATATATTGAGTGGCGTAGCCAGCGTGGTGGACACGAATGGAGGGCGCCTGACATGTGGCTCTGGCTCGTGATTGGTCCATAAAGCCTTTTCTGTTGCACCAGTCTCCTTCAAGCTGGTACAACAACTGGTTCAAGTATTCCACATTTGTAGCGAGGTATAAGGCGCAGACATATTGGACTAAGCCGAGCTCAGCTAGTTCTTTTTTTCCAAGCTTTTGAATGGCCTTCGACAAAGATCTTCAGCGAACAATGGACAAGGATGGATTAAAAGCAATATTAAATTTGCGGCACATACCGCGTTGTAAACTTGGATATGCGACGCACGTTGTCCGAGGCTAGCTTGTCTTTAGTTAAAAACGACTTGTCGGCCTTAATAGCTTTCTGCATACCATGGCTCGGGTAGTTCACGAGGGATAAATTCAAAAGGCCTCTAATTCATGACCATGGTGGGACAAAAGTACCATCAGCTTCAGCAGACAGAATGGGCTCCATGTGGGATGTTATTGATTTTTTTAACATCAGGAAATATTTACTTACATGTTTTTGTTCTCAGATATTTTTAGAATTAGGCCATTATAAGAAAAACAATATAAGTGCATTTTGTTTTTTATTAAAATAATTTTTTTGCCAGCAGCTCCCTTAATTTATGCTGATTAATATTAACATCGGCGAATCCACAAATCCCATATGCAATAAAGGCCAAAATGTTTTAATTCAATTTTTAGACTTTGAGTTTATTTGTAGTACATGCATTATACTAAAACGAAGTTATTTGACAGTATAAGATCAATTACGCATATTAGAATTTGAGGTTGCAAGAGAGACATCAAATGTTAAAAAGCAATGGTGAACAATTAAGCTGCAAGCAAATTTAATTATAGTTAAAAACGTTTGAGCATTTTAAACTTTACATATGTTAATTATACGAAGATATTTTACCTGACTTTAGCGGTTTTTAAATTGTTTTAATTTCCTATTTTTAATGCACTTCATGTAACAACTTTTCGACACTTTTCGCACCTGCTTTCTCGTAATTTTGAGACAAGGATTTCCGCGGCCACGAATCCGTTTAATACAAAAAAATTAATTTAAGATGTTGTCAGATCGTTGATTTCTACAATTTTTGTAGAAAAATATTTCATTTTATCGGAATGTTTTTTGCTCAAAGCCTTTTAATTTTTCTGATCATATTAATATTTGAGCTTTGTACCGATCTAAAGCAGATATGTCTATTGCCGTCTAATGCCATAGTGTCTCTGTACTATTTTGATTTACCTTTTTTAATACTATTTTCTCAGTTTGTCTTAAAGCTAGGCACAACTTAACTTTATAATTTAACAATGAACCCTTTAATCAATTAGACATTTGTTCAAAAAATCACTTAACTAAATACAACCGTTGAGTTTTAATTTTCTTTACACATCCGTGATGTTTAAGATGGCTGCTCAGTCTGTGTTGCTTTTTGACTATTTTTTGTCGTTTTAGCTGGCTGTTTATTCCTTTGCTGCACACATGTACAGACAGGTGCGTGCTTTTTAGTATAACGAACGACCTGTTAGACACGGGCTTGAAAATTTGCTTTGCTAGTATGACTCAAATAAAGTGTGTTTTATGTTCAAAACTTCGACGAATTGTATTCTATTAAGTAAAATTGCAATTCCTCTATCAAAAAGCAGGAATTTTTTACGGGCGTAAAGTTTTCAATTTTTTTATTAATCCCTAGGTTATCTGTATGATGCCTTTTGTGCAATTTCAAAGTATTTGTTTTACGTATTCTGCAATTCGTTCTGCCGAAATAACTGGAATTCGATACGTAAATGCAAACATCGTTAAACTGCATTGTGTTGTGGTTTTATTTTTGTATCTGTTTATCGCTAAATGCATTCTAACATAAAAGTATATTTCTTGATTTTTTGGGACTGCCAAGCCCAATATACGAACTACATAAAATTACTGTAATCGTTCTTTCTTATGGTTGGTTCAAAGCTTTGCTCGTTGGTCCGAATCGCTTTATACTAGTGTACCTACAATAAGAGCAGCATTGTGAATAACTGTAATTACGATTAATACTTATATGACCAAATAAAGCTTTCACTTATCTGTTTTCTTCAATAAATATAGGAATGACATCGACGAGGCCTTCAAATTTCCCTGAACAAAAGCAAGGTGTCCGTGATATTTTTCAGATTACAGTTCGACTACTAGAAAATGAAAATTCCATCACACTTCTCATACCCGTATGCTGTTATCTGTAGATTTGCTTTAATGTCTTATAGAAGCAAATTATTTGTCCTCATAAAAGCCAAATTAATTATAGTTTGGGTGTGCAATGCAATGTGTGTATTTACAACTCTCTTGGGATTTGCCCAACGTGAATTCAGTACACTGTTTATTAATCGCTACAATTCTGACTACCTGGTTTGTTGGATTTTAGCTCGTTGTTTTGAAAACACTTGACAATGAATTTAATAACGGTAACGTAATGTAGATTTGACCCGGCTTCCTACCCATGAAAAAAAATCATTCTGAACCTCAGAAGCTCGACTTTTATGAAACTTAAGGAAGAGAAAAGTCCAAACGCAGTTTGCTTCGTCTGACTGTAAGTATTGCCCGAGTCGCCGCAGCCAATCATAGTATGACACGTGTATTTTGAAGCATCACCTAACGCTACGTGTTGTGCACTTTTGATTCGCACCTGTTCAGGGATTTAAGCAAGCATCATCACATCGTACGTCAACTGTCATGTGACACTAAATTGGTGTTGACAAACGCCCTTATACGTCATTCTGTCTTAGTAGCGCGGCACTACTACCAAAAAACCATTTTAACACATCAATTGTACAAATATTTCCGCAAACCATAAGGTTCGCGAGTGCTATACAGCAAAACATAACCGTTTTTTATGACCAGTAGTTTGTCAAATAATCTGGGCAATATCTAGTGCAATGTGATTTCACTCTTGTGATTAGTTCAAATCCTAAACTACTGATAAGCTTTATAAACACTTTCAAATGCTGTTGTTTTGGGATTAAAGTGCTGCTATGTGACTTTAGAATTTGGGCTTCACGACAAGCATGAGGTCGCTAGTCTTCAGCCACACTGTTCTATGACTTATACCTCGTTAAAAGTCAAGGTGATTTTCTGGTGCTATCCATCGTCACAGTACACAGGAGCAAATTCTCTATTTGTCCACTTTCTTGGTTTTGGCTGATGCTTTTATTCTGTTTAGGAGCTGGCAAATGGCAAGTGGTTACTGGACGAGGTCTGTAGACGGCAGGAGGTACTTCCAGAAATTGAGTACTTTGGCTTACGGTATATTTCGTGCGAACTGCTCTCTGCACCCACGAAGGTAAATTGTCAAGATTTTGCTCTACAAAACCCATCATTCTGATCTTCATGTGTGGTATCAGTTTAAATAAATGAGTCATCCACTATTATAATTCCAGGAGTATTTGTAGACTATAGCAAATAGTTATTTTTAGAAAAAGGCCTAAGGGCCAATGAAACAGATAATGATGCACGTTTTCATGTTCTTTCTCCAGTGATGTTTGTGACGAAATTAAGGCATGGAAAGTAGTTGAGGGTCTATTTCCTTGGTTTTTGTTGTCTGAAATTGATTAAGTAAAATAAACGGTGTCAGGATCATGTAAAAGTCCATCCACAGCCATGTTTATTGTTACTTGTGTGAAGCAAACCTAACAGCATTTGTTTGTTGTTATTACACTACTGGTGTTTCGAACCAGTTACCGTTCATTCCATATTCCAGGTGGTACAATCAATCGCAGCCTCTTTATTTTATAACCTGAATGGTTTTAGCTTTCTGAGCTAATTAACGACCACAACCAAGTGCTATAATATGATGACAAATTGCTAACTACTCAACTTTGATTAAATGTTTTGCGGGAGTGTCTCACCATAATGTTTTAAAACTGATACCACCTTCGGACTTAATTAAGTTGCTTTGGTTCAAATTATAAGCACCTGGCTTGAGACGGTTAGTGCAAAATATTTGTCATGGCCCCACTTTCGAATACTTTTCCATTACCTTTTTTTTCTAGCATTGGTTAAAACTTACCAAACCCATTCGTACTCAGCTCAAACGTAAGTAGTCACTGTTTGTTCAAATATCCCAATCTGCCATTCCTGTGTGCTGATGTGTAAGCTTATTTCGAGATTTCGGCGACATTAATTTAATTTCACTATTATTCCTGGTTAGATACGCATCCACGCTTGGTGTCTTTTCGGATTAAACACTACCCACCAGATCCTTTCAATGACCTGAAGCTAGACAAATCCAAGTACGTTCGAATTGTCATTTTCGTAGTTATTGTGTGAAAAATATCTTACATTTGTTTTTTTTAAAAAAACGTATCAAATCACGTCAATTTACTAACAGTCAGTTAATAAATGCTGCTTTCATTTCTCTGTCTGCTTACACAGCATATTTTTGATTTTGAACTCGTAAATCTTGTGCGACTTGTCGATCGCCTAACTAACATTTTATTTCTTATTCATAATGATTTTAAGTCAAAACTCTTTGCATGCGTATCTCGTATATATGCTTATCGGTGAGTTGCAATGGAATTGTGCATATAGTCGTCAGCGGTGGCATTTTGGGGTGATAAACTGTTTAAAAATAGGTCAGGCCAACAAGAACGAAAGTCATAGGATCGTGCTCCATTTTTATTGTTCGAAAGTCGATTGAAGTATTCTTTTCAAGCATGAAGGCCGACTCTGATTTCAACACCTATAATGCTTACTGATATTTTTGCCCATCTCGGGTTGGAACTTTCAGTGAAATCATACTTTTCTAATTGGTTTTGTGTCAGTTGGGGTACCGGTTGGGTTCTACACTTGAATTGTAGGTACCTAGGCTGATCGTGGGTACCTCACTTCTGTGGCGATGCATCTTCATGTTTAACATCAGTTAAATGGTGTAGGTGGAATAAGTGTGCTGGGTTTTGGTTCACAAAATGTTGCAACAGTTACATGAGTCGAAACTCCCAGCAGTGCACCTCGCGGTACCTCAACGCAGTTGCATAAAACGCTCAATTGCCTTTATTTTGAGCAAGTCAGATGTATACACGATGTTGCCGAAATAAACGCTTACGCGGAATTCCTCTATGCATTGTTTCTGAAAAATTTAAAGCCTCAAACCAACTGCATAGACCTCTTTATGATATAACAGCGTCCATTAAGCATATTTTCAACATGTAATTATTCCCTGGCCAAAATTTAAAAAAAATATATTTTAAACTGTTGGGTCAAATGTCAGGGCCACCATCTATTGAGACCCCAATATAGGACCGTAAACTACATCAGACAGTCAGTTGTATTGCCGCCTGCCACGAACGGCGATATCCCGAGGCGAATGAGAGGGCCAGCCGAGGCAAAGAGGGCCCGACCGTTTATCAGCGGTCTCGGCCGCGTTGTGGTATGTGCGCGGGCTCGTGCCCACTCCCATATCGACAACCTGCACTTGGGTGGGGGAGACGGCGACTGTTGGCAGTCACAATCACGAGAGTCCAGGCGACAGGAGACTGGTGACGAAGAAGAAGAAGTGTGCTGCTGATCCACAAGACAAGTTGTGTGTGGGTAAAAGTGCGCAAGGTGAACAAAAAACCGGACATGCGCAGGCGAGTCTGACAGACGCTAATTAACACGAATCAATACGAAACGGTACGTGAGTGTGTCAGAGCCCATGGTTTAAAGGGATTAGGCGGAACCAAAATCAGAGAAGGAATGTTTTTGAATCTTTATTGGAGTCAGTGTATGGCTTCCTAAACTACATTTTCCTTTGCAGATACCTATTATTTCATCAACTTCACCGCGATTTTCTCGGTGGTCGCCTTATCGCTCCACATGACGACCTTATTCGACTTGCCGCTCTTTTCTTACAAGGTTGGAATAATGTTTCTTTTTTCCTCGTATCCAAATAACAATTGGCTATTATTTTTTAAACTCTCACTTATCAAAGCCATGCCATGTCAAAATTGATGTATGTCATTGCAGTTAATAGTTGTCGCGGTTTCAATCAGTGGTTTTCTGAACTAACGCATGAAAGTCACTCCTCATTTGTAGCTGCTCGGGTTTTTGATCGACCAATGAAATGACAAACCCAAAGTTGTTATTAGCTAACCTATCTAGCTTTCCACTATTCAAACGTAAAACATCACTTTGAACGTGGCAGTGTCAATAGGATGGTTAAGAAAGAAGGGTATTCGAATGGACTGCTATATGTGTGTATGTATGGTCTGCTAGTTTCCTTCTGTGTTTGATGAGTTATTTTCCAATAAAAGTAAAGCGCTTTGGAAAAATACGCACCTGGACATGTCTCAATTCCTGAGTATCATGTGTAACAATCTGGCGAGAATGGAGGAAATTGCGTTTTCTGTGGCCTGCGAATTTATGTTCTGAGCCGCAAATGTAATTTGTCCAAGAAAGTGCTTCACTTTACTTTCAAATGACGTCAAGTTAAATGAACTTGTGTAATTATTTTTAAAAAATTTCTAAAATGCATTGAGATTCCGGCTACTTAAAGGGACTTGCGTGAAACTGACCCTCGATGTCCGCAAGTTATCAGCAGTCTGAACACTGAAGGATTGTTTACTACTTTCGTAACGCGATCTATAGCGAAGTGCACTGCTTTTGAGTACCAATGCACACGGACGACAAGTTAAATCACCCCTCGATTTTATAATATTGACAGTTTCGGCGCTCTTGAATCAACAATTACACTACCTAAATTATGGTAGCTGGGGATGGTGCCAATAAGGAAGATAGTAGGAGCTTTTTAAACAATGAACTGTTGAACTCTAATATTTAGCCCTTAAAAAACTACTGCATGTCAAACTTAAAACACTGTCCACTTCGCTCGGAAATGAAGCTACTTAAGGAGGAAACCTTGGATTGCAATACTTTACTTCCTTTTCATTCATAAAATGGTCCAATGGTCAGTGGTAAAACTAACAAACCCGAATATCTATCCTTAACTCCCAACTAAGAAAAGAGTAAAATGTGAACTAATAGTGCAGGTATCAAGGGGTCGAATAAAGCTTTCATTTTCTAGCTTTCTATAGTACAATTGTACGACCTCTCTGTTGTGTGGGTTAAGGTAATTCCGAGGAAAAGTGATTCGATTAAGCACGAACCCTTAATAAGGGAAAATATTCCTTATCATGTCCTTCACTTGTTGCAGTTTGATAGAACTGGAGAGCACCATATTTTTGGTGTACAAACTTTAGTAAATCATCTTTTGATTTCAAAAAGCTTGCATCACACCAATTGAGTAAGTTATGGAACAATTTTTGGAGCCGTCGCTCATTGATCTCACAGAAACTAGCAACCAATAGTTCCCTAAGCTATAACGGTTTTCGTACTTGATTTAGCGCTTAAGTACAACATTCCATATTACCTACTGCGGTAATTTCAAAATTTTTGGAAGGTAAAAACAGGTGTTATAAGTCAAATCTTTTTGGTAAAGTTTGTTATTGAATGTGCCTTTTACAATGAAATAAATACCAATTTCCTGACTGGTCTGTCGCTTCCATGAATCTGACATTGTCACAACTTAATGTTGTACACACTGAGCCACCTAAAATGGTGGCATTGAATTAACAACTACATTCAGGTTTTCCTAACCTTACCAATCTTACAATTACCCCTTTAACACTACATCACATTTCAAATTCAGTCCATAAAAACTGCTTTTGATCAGTTTCTAGCCTCACGGAAAGCATAATTGTAGCCAGTGGTTGTTAAATAAGGCATGAAAAGTCGAAGCAGTGAGCAGCAGTAAATTCCATAACCGAAGTTTTACTGTAGTCCATTATGCTAAACCAAAGCGAAACCAATGCCTGTTTTTCAAACCCTCCAAATTGCCTCAATCAATTGGTGCTTTTCTGCTAGCAGCGTCAAAAGAAATGCCTCGGACAAATCTTGACCAGAATTAAACCTTTCTTAGTTACTTTGGGAGACGCCTCGGTGATAGAAGCGTCTTTTGCCGCCTCGCAATCCTCGTTCTCGAGTGGGGAGGCCTCTACGTACCTTTCCAACTATCGAGCCCTCCACGGCGGGTCATCAAGAAAAACTGAAATTGAAATTGTTGATGAGCACAGGAAACTTGAGTAGGTTTGTGCTTTGTATGGTAAGCAGGGGGCTTGTCAGTTTTCACGGTAGAACTGCGTTCCACTCCAAATTTCCAGGCGGCTGTAGTAGCGTGAGTGGGATAACTTATGGTGTCGGCGAAAGGACAGCATTAAATGCTCAAAACGTGTCCTTTGCAAAAGTTTCAAAGGATGAATTTTTATCTCAATATTGCATCCCCGTTAATTTTCTTATTCAAATGTACGCTCAACAAAACTTTGAAAAGCACGCAGTTAACACAGTAAAAGGAGAAATTAAAGTGTTTTAATGAAAAAGAGATGATAAAATGAATTACAAGGTAATTTCAGTGACATGTTTCAGGAAACTGTAAAATAATCCCCTACAACTGACCCAAATAATTCAGTTACAGTTAATGAGCGTGACCAGAGGTACCAGCAGTTTAATTCGTCCAACAACCCCAACTGCCGCAGCAGTGTCTACAAATGACTAATGGCCGCTCCATTATGCACCCTTAGTTCCCAATCACATGAAATTTCATAGTTGTGAACCTTAATGCAGAAGCTTTTAATTTGCCTTTACTACTTCAGCCCTCGGTGAAATGCAAGGTGGCAATTTTTTCACTGGCCGCTGAACTAGTGGAGTTATTTTGTACACTTAAGTAGATTTAAATGTTCAGGACTCTGCTACAAGCTAAAATTGCTCTTTTAACCAGGCCTTGCATAATTTAACACCAACTTAAGTTATGGAGATGGTTCTCTGTGGCAGTCGGCGATTGCATTGAATGAGGTTGCTACTTCAGTTACTATCACAAAATGCTTCGCGATGATGCATTCTGTGTCAGATTTGTCCCCATAAAGAATGATTAAAATCATGTTTTGAGGGGCTGAGAAACTACGCTCCTTTGAATATCGAGATCTGGTTTAAGTTGCTATTTATCTGCATCTAAACGTTTGTTTATTTCTGATGGAGTTACAGTATTTCAACCATGCCTCATAGTAGGCCAATACCAAGAAAGATTTTTGAAAATCATTGAGTATCTTTAGTCAACTCAATCCTGTCCAAAATTCGATTTTTTTTGAACGTTAAATCTTCTTAATGAAAATGTACTTGATCGCATTCAGAATAATATATTTTCAGAGCACTGGCATATCGTTGACGCCAATTTACTCTTACTCTACAGGCGTACCTTTCGCAGTTGAGGGCATGTAATAATCATTGATAGCTTTGCAACTGCAGCCATTAAACTGGTAATTACTGGTTCTCCAAATGTCTATAATAAAAAATAACTCTGACTCCGTTCTCCAAGCATAGCTTGAGGTTGACTTGAATACCTTTGCTAATGCAATAGCTGGTCAATGCATTGATTCCGACTCTGGCAATTGAGGTATTGGTATGGATGGTTTCATTGAGAGATTGTGGTAAAACCATGTGCTGTTCATCATGGACACTGTTTTCAAACCGATAGACTTGGCCGGCTATGATGCTGACATCATTTGTAAGGTGAGTTACCTCAGCTGCAACAATGATTGACCTGTATATTTTGTTAAACTTCACCCTAAACCCTTTACCAACTTCTCATATAGTTATGGTAGTTTTGCACTTAAAGTAGCAGTGATTTCTTAATTTGAAGTTTGCTTTTCCATGTTAATTACGTGAATCAAGAAAGTCAAGTTTCCTCAAATTATTACCCTATCATTGGCTTCTCAATGTCCTCGATCAGGGTGTGCCATGTTTTGCTCGTGCATTGCTTCCTATTTTCGATAATAGCTGGCGCATTTTTTTGAATTTTTTAGCTAATGTGTCCTATGTTTCATTTAATTAGAGGTCTGTTACCCAGTGAAGCTGCAGCTGAGGTGATTCGAGCTGCCCTGCGGCAGCCTTCCTACGGACTCGAACCTTTCAGAGTGCTTGTAAGTGAAAGTACTTCAATGTATTTACGACAGAATTTTGTGAATAGTATATTTTAACCACTTCTATTTGTAGGCGAAGCACAAGAAATCCCGTCCTATGCACGTCGGACTTACACATGAAGGAGTCGCAGAGTTTATTGGGAGCAAACGCGTACAACTGTACAAGTGGTATGTTCATACATTGCTTGACTGATTTGTGAAGCTGTAAATCGCTAATCAAGCGCACTAATTGGGATTTCTCAAAAGTGTAATAAAATTACTACTCGATATTTCCTTCTGTCAAAGAACAATGTCCATTAATCGATCTTTAACATCATTTCCCGTAACTGGGAGCATCATAATCACTAGGATCTTGACGATGTGCTCTTTCTTTGTTGTTGATAGTATTTTCATTATTTTGCCTAGAGATCTTTGCCCTCACTAGGTACCACTGTAAGGATAGTCCAACGTGGCATTTTATGATACACCGGTTTTCGCATTATTAATTATTCGTTCACCTAATTTAATAGTGCTATTTGTTTCAAACACCGAAATCGTTAATTTAATAGCCGTCCTTTAACATTTTGAAATTTTTAAGTTTATAATATAAGTAAGCCACGTCAGACTTTTCGTTGTTAAGCGTATGCTTGGTTTTTCCAGTGTGCAGCCCATCCATTGCATTGACTTTAACTCAAGGTGAACGAACTTTCTCAAGCCTTTAAATAGCCATATTTGTCAAATCAATGCCTAAAGCTGCACATAGTCGAAGCATAGTCCTGGTTTTTTGCTTTTATAGTCATTTCTAAAGATTCTTATCTTCAAACTTATTTTAGGCTTCTGAAGGTGTTTGCTAATTGATCAACATATTTTCCACCGGTAGATATCTTAATCATCACCGAAAATTATTGTTAGTCCATGTCGCCTACCTTAGGAACAGACAGATCTCTTTGTCATAACCGAGTGTGTAATGAAACCGATGCACATATATACGTCTCGGTTTAGACCGATATCCCACCTTACCACATCTCCAAAGTAAAATTTTGTGCAGCTACCCTGTCTTTTTTGCCTTATTACTTTTGTATGTTTTTCATCTATTTCAGGACCAGCATTGTTCAGTTTTTCTACTCAGGGAGGCATTTTATTATGGTCTACCAAAAACCAGTATGTCATCATCATTGCATGAGGCAGTATCAGTGTTTTTAAAGTACTCAACAATCTATTTATCCGTTTAGAACAGACTGACGGATCTGTTAATTCTTATTTTCAGCTATCGAATGGCCGAAAGGTGAGTCTGTTCCATTTGTAAAGTCAATCAACACGTGATGTGGGTTGGAAGTACACTCCTTTTCATTCTGCTTTTATTACAACTTAAAGACTCACCCTTTGGCTGTAAAAAGGTCACATTAATGACAGCTAGCATTGCGTTTAATGTGTAAATAATCTAAGATGAGTGATTTAAATTAATATTAATCTGAGAGTAAGCATTTTCAGTGAAAACTGACCTTAAGTCTCCTTGTTGGTAATTAACACTGCAATCAGAAATCTCGTGTAGTACATTTTCGATAACGGAGCTGATGAGTGACCGAAGTCTCATGGTTCTACAAACCCATTGTTTCTTCTCCTGACTGTTATAAGCGTTAGAAGATCATACGTAGCCTCCCATATTGCATTAAATTTATGTCGTTCCTTTTCCTTGTCTGTAAGTGCACTTTACAAGATCGCTGAACGACATTAACCTCTTAAATTTAGTCTGCCAATGGAACAGCTGAATACAAATGTGAATCACGGTCAATTGCATCAGAATTATGGAGCTGGGCACTGGAACGGAAGCTTTTTTTTACGTAAGTAGTCATTTGCTTGCTTTGTACAGTGCCCTTCGGCTAAAGACAAAACGATGCACTATGCCCCTGGTTTTGAGCGAATTGCTTTAACTGCTTATTTTAAATACTATCCATCAACTTGTCACCCCCTAACTAGTAAATTGCTTGCCATGGAAACATGCTCGTGATAACACTAACATAGATGGTGAAAAATAACTGTAAGTTTGCCAACCACGATTATTTATATTTAAACTATCACACACAAAAGCTTTACTTGTGGTCAGATTTCTTCCGAATCCACTGATAAATCGCATGTTCATTACTTAGCTAACCTTGTATTAGCTAGCGTGGAATTTTCTAATTTGGGAGCAAAGTACCTACATTTCTGTTCACGTTACCTTTATAAATAAAATCAATGCAAGCTCATTGGTATCGTTTCATTCGAAATACTACTGCTTAGTATTTCGATGCACATCCCAAGTACCGACGTGTGACGTGACATCACTCAATTGGCATACCTTAGTGCATATTTCTACCTGAACTTCAAAATATTTCCAATCTTGACTGATTACTTTATTCAAATAATAACTTCACTGAGGCTGATCTAAGTAGATATTTAAAATTTATTTCTACAGAGTCAAAAGTTGAGCTAGCATCAATTTTTTTATTATAGGCGTTTTCCGTTGGCTTTAGGAAATTCCGTGTATTAGATTTCTTATAAATGATGTCTTAGGTCGAAAATACAGTCAAAGATGCCCGTATTTCGAATGGCAACACCTTGCTCACGCGCATCGTCAAATTTTCTGAATTTAAATTCATCGAGTGCTGTATTTTCTTCTTTGGAGTCTAGTTAATTGCCATTTCAAATCAAGTCCTAAAACTCAGAATTGTATGGCACTTTTCCATCATCAGAATTATACCTGCTCAACTCTACCATTTTCATTGCAAATATAACCACCAATATTTGTTAACTGATTTTACTGTTAGCATTTAATTAAACTGTCTCAATATTTACTCCGAATTCTAATTATATCAGCTAACATGCATCATAAAAAGGGGTATTAAGGACTGCAAAAGCTATTCAGATTTCATCAAGAGAGGCCTCATTTCTTAAGTAGTCTCTCATATTTCATTTACTCAATCCGATTTTAGGCTCGAGAAATCATCTGTTATAAAGCCAATAGCGACAAAGTACAACCTATTCTCTCGAAGGCATACATTTACCTTCATGTACGTACATTTTTTGTTACTTTAGGTTGGTTTTCCCTGGCAGTCATAAACAACCTAAAAAGAATGCAAAATTGTTCGTCAATTTAAGGATATATTAGCGATTTCTGCATTGCTCATCGTTCAGTCGACCTAGCTGAGTTATGGGAGAATTTGCGTTTCACATACGCTATTAAAAGTCAGATTTTTCCTTACGTCCCAATGGTGTACTTAGTGAGTATAGTGTACGTAGCCGGAATTCCACTTGCGTCACTACACTGTTGTCTCCAAAAGTGAACGTTTCTACCCTCAAAGAAATCCGTAAACAATGAAGTTGGTTTAATGTCTACAAGGCCATAGCTAACAAGTAGGTTGGTCGGAAAGTCTCGCCTTACATCTCTCGATCTTAGGTGGCCAATCAATATTTCATTGGTCTTTGATGGCGTTGGGCTATTGGTTGTGAAGCTGACGGGAACTTTCCTCTGCCTCGGCGATAAAGCGACAGGGTACCGAGCCAAGTAAATGTGTCAACTCTGCGATTCGGCAGTATGGTTACTACAAAGGCACAAAAGTGCTCACGAGACATGATGAACTGAACATGCATGAGTCACTGGTTCCTTCGGAGTCGTTCGTGCGAAAAATTATATTATGGGCAAATTTATGATTAAAAAACTCCGGGAATAACATCGGCTGTAAATCCAACATGGAAATGAGCGCCAAAGCTAACGTACTTTGGAGGAAGGGGCTTCGATTTGCGTTCATAGGTAGCGATGGTGTCCGTGTGTGGTCGTATCATTTATGGACTTGCAGAGGCGTTGACGCAAAGTGTGACGCTGAGTCACCCCATAGTTGCTAAACTACAACATAGCTCTAGCTACCAAATCGACAAGACAGGCTGGTTAAAATGGAGTCCCCAATGTAACACATTCATCTTTGAGATTCTTAAAGCCTTGTACCTCGTGTTTGAGAGGTGGCAGTCAATGTGCTCCAAAACAACTTCTCGACGCTAACCTTCCACCTGGAATCATTCGCAAATGTACTGATCACCCCTTGCAGCTGAATTATGATGCTCCTAATAATGTAAATCGAACATTGACAGCGTAGGTTTCGATGTTAAGTTGACCGGCTAAATGACCGGAAAACAGCAAGGAATTACTTCTTAGCGTTGTTATCTCCTCTGGTCAATTTACAGTGGGCTACCAAGTCGATTCAACAACTTCCATCAACAACTGGGCAAATGGGCTTATTGTCTGACACTTGGTGGCTTGGTGCCGACCCTCAAAGTTGTTGTTCTGCTCATCGTTCAGTCGACCTAACTGAGTTATGGGAGAATTCGCGTTTCTTTTCTTCCTTACGTCGAAGGCATAAATGACGTCAATGGTGTTTATGACAGTGCATTGAGGTGTTGTTCAGGTCTTTTCTAATGGTGCGGACTGTTGCAAAGGCAACCTTACTTATATGGCAAATAAGCCCAGAGTTGGGACGACAAAGGTTATTTATACCGATTGGCCGTCACCATGGCAGCCAAGCCTTAGCTACACAGACTATTCCAGGCAGATATTTGCAGTGGCTTGGTTTCCCTGCAAAGGCTACTTGCGCTCCCAAAATTAAGAACATTTATTCCAACGTGGAGATGATATTACTAGTGAAGCTGGTAATGCCCATCAAAGGCAGTAGCAGTGACTTGGGTCAATAAAGTAGTAGTTAGTAAAGGAGGCGAAATATTCACTCACTTCGTGGTGCAGTTGGTAAATACTGCATTCTGTGCGTTCATAAAACCGTCTCCTGTCCGACTCTACCTTACTGCACTCAAAGGTAGACTTACTCGATGGAAACGGATCCTAATGCCTAGAATATGACTCTCCACACATGCAACAATGGCAAGAAGTGGGCATTTTCGGTCGTTCCAAGATTTTCCATCACACTCGCAACTTTATCCAAAAACTCACTCGCTATCTAGAGGGCGACGCTCAGAATCGGATAAGTAGTTACATGTTTGTACCGCATTGAGTTTTGTGGATGCTTTAGCAGTGTGGGCACCTGTGTCTTGGTTAACCTGCTTATAGTAGTGTGAGCGTGTGTGTGTGGTGTGTGTCATCAAAACAATTTCAGTCTGAGTGTGTGTCAAAAACACTATTAGCAAAAGTGGTCATGTTTAAGCATTTAATCATTGCACAAACAGTGTGGG